GGGGGGGGGGGGGATAAATGCAGAGAATTTGTATTCAACTATTATTTAAGATCAAGAACAAATTTACAATTTAAAAAATTCAAAACAACACACAAAAATACACAGAGTAAATACAAGCATTTTCGTAAAAATAGCAATACGTACTTGTACGAAAATCGGAATTACGTTCTGCGATCGAATTATCATCCTATTATTGGACTCTCTTGCAAGAATATGAAGAGCACCTACTGAACCTTCTACTATTTCTTCCATTCGTACTCCATCTGCATATGCACCCGATGTTTGTTGACTTCCGGTACTAGCAACAGATGATCGTTGCTGCAAATAAAAAATAGCATCATTCTATTATGTAAAAACTATAATAATGTCATATTTTTTATGTTAATGTTTTTTATCTTTAAGTAGCATATAAATAACAATAACTAAAGATTTTCTTAGTAAAAAATTATATAATTAAAATATTAACTATTATTATGCAATGTATATTATACGATTTTATTTTCTATAACGACTTATACTCACTCGTTGAGTATCCTGGAATGCACGCATCAAGAGTCTTACAAGATGATGTATTGCGCCGTGGTCGCGTAACGGGATGTGATTAGAAGGACAAAGAGCCAAGTTGCGGATTAATCCAATAACTGCTTTCACCAATGGCCAGCGCGACGGCGGGTGAAGTAATTTGACTATAACTTGAATACCATAATTTATTCGAACGGAATTTTGTGCCATTTCCGCTTCGCCGTGACGCGAGGTCAAGTGACGTAAGGCGCACACCGCTGGTTCGGTGATTTCCTCCCGATCACCGGCATTGATGATCGTACGAACCAGAGCGTCGACACCACCAAAATTACATACTGCAACCTAAACAAAAAGTATAATGTAGACCTTACACGACCATATTATTGATATTTCAGCTCAATTTTATGTACATTACAAACCTTACATAGTCGATAATATTCAGACAACAAATCATGATATTATTGATCCGAATTTCTTGATCCTTGAACATTAATATCGTTCTGTAGTAGAGGATTTTGATATGATAGAGAATATTGTTCGAGAATGAAGAAATTCGAATCACCGTCAATATTCTACATTAGTTTACCAATATTAACACACAATAAATAATACTGTCAATACTAACAGTATTATTGACTGTGTGAGGTTTCTATAAATTAGATAAGAGCAAGAGCATTGTAAAAAAATTTTATTGGACGTACTTTGTTACGCTGATTATTACAGGTTAAGTTTGACAAAATGCCAGCAGCGCACGTAACCACATTTACGTCTGCTGATCCGAGCACAAGCACGAGACTCTGCAATAAATTATCGAGTCCGTCAACCTTTGTGCCAGCGTCTGATAGATTACGCAATGTCCACAAACAATTCTGCACTAATCTTTGACTCGGATTTGCAAGATGCATGGCAAGTGCCTGCATACCACCAGCCTCCACAATCGCGGGTTTATTACTAGGACAAACAGACAATACTGCAAACAAAATAAATTATCTATTAATAAATGCAAAATTTCATTACAACAGTTTTTAGACTTTCACAAGTATTAGTTATTTATACAAGTTATTTATTCGAAGATACCAGAAGGGTTTTGCGAGATTATTTGCAGTGTTTTTACCTTAATTAGGATCAAATTACCTTTCAATACTCTCGAAGTGGTCCACAACAATTTCTCATATTCGTAAGAACGCATGATGCGCACAAGCTCTATCGGGCCTTGCGAAGCAAGAATAATCAGCTTGCTCTCCTGATTTCCATATGCCAGAATCTGCAGACAATCGGTAACAATGGCTAGAAATTTAACGTTATTCCGTTGAAGTAGAGCGACCATTTTTTGCAAACCACCGGCAAGGCGCACGGCCATCTTAGAGCCGTCTTGGTGAAGCAATAAGTTGTGTAGCGTTGTTATTGCGTAAAAGAGAACAGACTCTACTGGGGAACTCAGTAGTTTTACAAGCGCAGGAATTCCGCCGCTCTTGAAAATAGCTAGCAAGCCTTGTCGATGATGCGATAAATTGTGCAAGGTGCCAACTGCAGCCTTCGTCGATTCTAAATCCTCGCTGTTAGAGATAGCTCGCACTAAGGCGGCTACCATCTGCATGCTGTTCATAATAGCATGACGAGAGGCTTCCTTCTTAGACAGTTGATGTACCATCATGGCCGCTTGAGAAACAACCACCTGATCCTCATCATTCAACAATTTGATCAATTCTGGAATAGCGCGCGTAGCAAGATCAGCATCGTCCTGATAATTTATCAAATTGACGACGGCATGCTTCAGCATTTGACTCGGCTCGGCCAATCTCTGTACAGCGGTGGGCTGTGCGGGATCAAATTGCGTGGAAGGTATCTCTACACCTTCTTCCAATGTTTCAGGAAACATAGCAGCACGAACACGCTGTGATCGAGTGTGACTCAGTTGCTGATTCATTTCTAAAAGATGTCATACCATTCGATATAATAATACACAATATCCAACTTTTGCAATGATAACATCGGATTTACGAATGTAATAATAGCCTCACCATCAACTTGATCTTGTGTGAAACCCTGTGCAAACCCTTGATCCAGATCGAACATCAGCTGATCCCCTTCCATCTCCTCATCTTCCTTGCCAGATAGAGATGGTGCCTGAGTGACAGCGCCGGAATGGATACCTGAGTCATTCATGTAGGAATTCTGCTGCCACATGAGTGTCTGTTCCTTGGCAGAGCCCATGGGCAAGTCGCCCGGGCCCTGATAATTCCCTTGAGACACTGTAATTCAAACAAACGTAAACCCCATGCGCGTCCCCCATTGCGACAAATTGTACATCATATGAACGTGACTTACTCGGTCTAGATTGATTCGTCGACATTGGGTAACTCATGATTCCGGCAAGAGCTTATCTCTGTACCTGAAAGAAACAAAAGCAAGATCTACGTCAAAATCTGCAGACGCTACGAATACACCATTCTGCAATACAGGCCCTCGTCACACGTCTACTCTCTGCTCGCGCTATTCCAATTATGCAAAAAGGAAGTGACATCAACAATGTGAAAAAAGACCAAATGCGAAGCGACATTCCTGTCGTCTGACGCGAGACTGGAATGCTCCGAGACCGAGTGGTTTACCGGCTCGGCGAGGGACAATTGCATTCATTCCCACCGAGTACTTCGAGGAGAGAATGAACAAGAGAAATCGCTTTGAAACGACATATGTTCGTTAAAATGTTCACTTGCGTGACAATAGAACGGTACGGCGGGTCAGTGCATCCTGCTGCGACAGGGAAAGATGCTCCCGCACGGAATGTGGGCGCGATCGAAGGGTCCTCTCCCCTCCTTCTCCTCCTATCTCCCTCTCCCCTCTCTCGCTCGCTCGCTCTTTCTCTTTCCTTCTATTCTCCCCTCCTTCCTTCTCTGTCTCGCTCTCGCGTCGCACAGCTTCAGGCCTTGTGGGTGTTCGCACGGCCGGCCGCGATCGAATATGCGTCGTGCCGTTGCACCCGTCGGGTGTAGCCGCGGGATGCGGCCGTGCGGGAATTATAACGAGGTCCCCCCCGCGGAATTTGGGGTGGGACGGAGGAGCGCTGGCCGCGTGACATAACGAGAGAAATGCGAGAATGCGATGTGTCATCATTTTCTGACAATCGACGAGGTCTCGTAGGA